TCTTCGTTTTCGGCCTAAGACCAATCAAATCGAAGCTTGGAGCAAGGAGCACGTCTAGATAAGTTCCCGAAGGGGACCTACCCATTTTTAAGTCCAGAAATCGCTTACCAAATGGAGTTATGAACAATTTTGTTATTTTTCCTTAATTTTTGGGTTTTGTTTTTGGGTTTGTATTTGGTCCATGGACTTTTAGGGTTTCATTTTAATTTATGCTTCTTATTTAACTGCTTTTTATGTAATTTGGATGGTCGATCATCAATTTTATGAACTTTCGATTTTCTCCCAAATTCTATGCGTGTTAACCCAGATTTTGATGTCAATCACACAGTATACGTAGAATCAACGTGGGTTTGAAGAGATTGTCCTGGTTATTCTTTTAGAATCCACAATTTGCTACATCAACCTCTTCAGGTTTTGTTTTTACGATTTTTGGATTTCTCTGATGTGAAACTTATTTTGAAAACAATTTGAAAAGAATGATGATTAGGGGTTTATTTCAAAAGTTTAAAATTTTCAAGAATTTTACAAATGTTATAAGATACCTACCACTAAACACACCACTCCACTTTTTTTTTAATTAAATTAAAATTAAAATTGCATAAAAATCATATAATTTTTTTTAAATATTAGTTTTCATTAATTTAAAATACCAAATTACATTAATTAAAATAAAAAATAAAATTAACATTAAAAATAAAAATTACATTATTAAAATAAAAAATAAAAATAAAAAACATTAAAAATAAAAAAAACCTAAAATTACCAAGCTTAACTAAAAACAACTATCCATTATTCCTACATTAGACTCGAACGGACTTCTTCATTGCGAGAAATAGCTCCAAATTTTTGCATTCGAGGTCGTCCGCTTTCATTTTCAAGACTTCCATATCAATTTTTGTTTGAATAGTCAATTGTGTTTCTATCATTTTTTATCCTATCCGACTCAACATCTTCGTCTTTGTTTCTTGAACATGCACATAACGATCAAATTCCTCTCCAAATTGATCCATAACACTAGATTTCGAAGCTGTGGAAGCCGCTTTTTTTGCTTTATTTCTTCCAACAGGCCGACGAAGATGTTCATCTTCAAGATCGAGCGGATCATCATTGATGTCGAAATGTGTTCGTCCGTCCGATTGTTAGGAAGTTGCATCGGGGTTTCTTGAACGTTTTGAACCGGAAAATTGTGAATTTCCTTCCGTTTGCTCTTTCTATTTCGAAGAATCTTTCAACTTTAACCAATATTTCACATATGGAAAACTTTTGTGGGTTGGCGTTATATTTCAAATTCATTAAAATTGTTTGACCCATTTTTTCGTATGTTTAGGATGTTGTAAATTCCTCCAAATTCAATGCATTTTAGTCGAGTATCACGCAACTTCAAGCTAATTTGATCAGTATTTCGATTTTCACTTCCCATTAACTCATAAAATAATGCACTTACTCCCAAAAACAATCGAGCGTTTAACTTCGCCTTCGATTGGTTCTTAGAAAGTTGAAATCCATGTCTCTACTAGCTTTTCTTTTTCCACTTTTGTCCATGGGACCCTTTTTGGGTGGTGTTGCCTCGAGCTGCTTTTTTTTCTTTTTCTTTTTAGGTTGAGGTGGTGATGAAGGTTGAGTTTCTAAAACAAAATTCGGAGAATGAAGGGTTGTGATGGTTGTTGTTGTTGGAAATGTTGTTGGAAAGCTTGACATTATTGAAGTTGTTGGAAGGTCGAAAAAGCTTGATATTGTTATTGGAAAAGTATTGTTTTTTGGATAGGGGAACCGGTTTGAAGCAAATTGACAAAACCACCTTAATGTAATTCCATGTTCGGGAATTGACGAGGGGTTGTTTCTAACGCAAAAGTGTTATCGGGTTTGCGATTTCTAAAGTTTGAAGTGGTGTTTTGGTTGGGATCCAGTTTTGATTGATATGAAATTATGGTGTGTGTATTGTTTATAGAGAAAGAAAAGAATTGTGCAAAGAAATGAATTTAAAAATGTGGCATTTATAGGTAAAAAAGATGTTTAAAAAATATAACCGTTCAACGTCTACTTTCTTGTCGTCTTCTCCCATTCGTCGTTGTCCCTCGTGCTCCTGAGCACAAAGCTCCACAACCCCGAAAACCCACACTAAGCCGGGGTGGTGTTCACGGACCACTATCATGGCCACGTAAACCACGAACCCGCTCATGGCCAGTATACCATATGGTCTAAGGGGCAAAAATGGATATGGTACTACTTTTGTTATGGTGGTGGTAAGCATGATAATATTGCATTATAATCTTTTTAGCATAATAGTAGTTGGAATATCACTTTTAAAGTGTTAATTAAAAACATAACTTTCACGTAAATCGGTAAATTTAAGATATACCAACCCAAACTTATATACCCGAATAACTAGATTGTAGTTCTGTTCGGTTATCAGTCAAATGTCCAACAAAAAAAACTTGATTAACCCAACCAATCTGCTCAAAACCAGAATATAAAAACCTAACTCATGGAATCCATAAGTGAGATCTCTCTCAAATTCAAGATTGTATATCATCTTTCTTGTTATGAAGACACTATGATTTTACCTCCTCCATGTTCCTTAACCCCTACTAGAGTTGATATCGGCTCTTTTGATAGCATTTACCCTAGGAACCATTAAATGGACTCCTAGGATACCAAACAAATGCAATATTATAACATTTTGACAAATCTTGAGAAAGAAAGGTCAAATCTTTTACCACACAAGACAACTCTAGATGCTTCTTTGTGAAAGATTTGACCAATCTAGAAGGAAAGGTCATGTTACAACCCGAGGAGCAGACATTTGTCAAAAAAAAAAAATCTTTGTGATAAAAAATCAATATACCTGAATTGAAGAAATTCAATGACAATGACATGATAAAAGCGTCAACAACAGTCACCCTCACTCTTGTCCATTAGCATAACAAACAAACTCAATCCACATGTGTCTGTGAAATCATGTAGCCATCATCATAAAGTTTCTAGTGTATCCTATTTACCTTAAGCATGTGATATGCACATGGGTATGTCTATCATAAGCATGGTTGGGTTGTCTTTGAAGGTCAATGAAATTAGGCCCACATTGACCATTTACATGTTTCCATGTAATTTGACAAATCTTTTTTTCATTTCTGAAAAAAATGAAGTGATTTAGGTCCTTACTTTTATATAATAATAATAATAATAATAATAAGCTTAAAATAACATGGGTACCCAAGAATTGTTGTTACTTCATACCTATGTCATTTTTGGTCATGGGAAACACTTCATCCTCTGTTAACAACAAAAGAAAACCAATTCAATTCTTTATTTTTATTTTTTATTGGGAAGGAAATGTTTGAAGTTGGTTTGATGCAATAACTACTAATGACAAAATAAGAGAATCATGTGGACCCAAATCAATATTAATTAGCAAATATTTGTATGAAAATGGCCGGATAATGAAATAGTGTGATCAAAGAAGGCGCCAAAAAAGAAAGATATTGCAAATATGAAATGTTCCTTTGCATTATTCAATGAAAAATTGAACACCTTTTCTAGGATGTGTCATGAGAATTGCAGTGTATATATATACTATATTAGTATATTATCATCACCACAAATGAACAAATGGGATTGATTAGGTCTAAAAATAAATTGTATGTTGTGTTATCATATTAGTATTTAGATATTTGAGTGATAATCAAATGAATAAGTGTGAAGGCATAAATCATGAACTTTTTATCAAAAAAACTTTTTTTTTGTGGGGATCTTCAAAAACCATTTTAGCAGCAAAAAATGCCTTAAATAATGGAGTGTTAGGTTGAGAGAGACTTTCGGAAAAATAAAAACTGTGTAAAAATGAAAATAAATCTTAAAAAATGCCTTAAATAACGGGAGAAATTTAAATTTTGCAGTCGGTAAATAGTGATTTTGCAGTGGGCCCATTTGAAAATCGGTGGTTTAATTACTCGTTGAAAAAGTCAAAAAATGAGTATTTTGGGATAAAGGCTTCTAGGAAAGTAGTAGCTGTATTTATCTTTTTCTCATATAAAATAACTACTAATGTTAAATAATTACTGAAAAAAGAAATTAAATTAATTACCTGTCTTTCAATCTCAACAGCAGAAGCAGCAAGTCTCCTCTTCAACACGGTTTTATCCTGTTGACAATTCTCCATCTCTGTATCTGTGTCAATTAAATAAAACCTAAATCATCACATTAAAAAAAATAATAATAATAACATCTGATATATTTAATTATTAAGTTAGATATTAATTTTAGATTCCAAACTTTAAAAAAATTGGAAATATTGCCATTTTAACATTCAAAAAAAGAAATTTTGGGATTCGTTTATGACATTTTAAGAAATTTTGGGATTCTTATACTACAATCTTTTTATTTCCCTAGAATCATATTTTTGAAGATCACCAACAAAAAGCACGAATAAGAAATATTTTTTGCTTTTATATTTGAAAATTGAAATAAAAGGAAAAGAAAATATTACACAAGACATAAGTACTCACCATAGTAATATGTTGACAGAATTGTGATGCGCTCAGTTGGCTAAACCAGGAGAAAAATTTTAAATTATAATATATATGAATTATGAAAGAATGAAGGATTATATATTTTATAGTCTAAATTTGATGTTATAAAAATGGAAAATAAAAAATATACCATTACAAATATTCCTTCACGTCGAGTGGGTAATTCCTCAAGCTTCTTTAGTGTCTCATCACCTTTAGTAACTTTACCAAATATCGCATACTAAGCAAAGAAAAAAGTTAATAATTTTTTTCCAAAATTTTCATTTGCATTAATTCGAAGAAAGTCAACAAAAGTCAAACCTCATGATCAAGGTGTGGAGCATCTCCAAGAAGCATTGAAAACGATGATTGAGCACTATTCGGATCTGAATACCTAACAAAAATTATTCAAGTATGAACTTACATCATTCCTTTAAAGGTGAAAATAATAAACAAGTAAATGGCATAATTGTAATTAACTAATTACCTTCCCATAGAAAGAATTCCTCTTACATGTTTAACATCACTGAATTCACCTTTAATGGTTTTGTCAGCTTCGGTTCTTTGTTCTTCATTCATAGGAGCTGTTCTACCATTACTAACATCAGCCACTTGTGCAACAAATCCCTTATCCACCTGTTTTTATTTTTTTTGAAATTTTTGTTACCCGTATGAAAATAGTTAATTGATTTAACTTTTTAAAAAAAATGGTTTTTTAGATTTAAGAAGTTACCCGAAAGAAGTGATTTGTATTATAGCATCCCAAACGAACAAGTTTGTAAATGTGTTCCACTGTTTGAGGAGCCACACTCGGGTAGAAACCAAATTCAATGTCTCCATAATTTGTCTGCATTTCAAAATTTGTCAAAAATCCACATCAATAATAATATATGGTTCAAAGTGAATTATGACAGAAAGTTTAATCGAGTTAACTTTAATCCATGGTTGCTTTTATTTTTGTTTTGAATGTTAACACAACGGTAAGTTTTTGTTACTTAAGTCTAGAAACACCTTGTTTTGTTGCTTGACTCCATTTTGTAAAAATGATGAGCTTCACAATGAGCCTGAAATACCAAATCTCTTCTTTGGCAAACTCACATTTTTTTGTATACAATCAACTTTTTAACAAGATTTGTAATACTTGTGTAAAAGGCTCCCCATTATCTTCTTTTGTTTTACTATAAACCAAGATGTTATCAAAGAAAACCAACACAAATTTGTATGGCCCAACAGCATTACTTAAGATTTATAGTGACCTTCTTGAGTACGAAAAGCCATTTTGAGCACATTCACTTTCTTAATTCAAAGTTGGTGGTTTCCCAATTTCAAATCCAACTTTGAAAAGTATTTGCTCCAAATAATTTGTCTAGAAGTTCATCGATGACTGGAATTGGAGATTTATCGAGAATGGTATCTTTATTTAGAGCTCGGTAATCGATACAAAACCGCAAACTTTCATCCTTCTCCGTAACCAATATAATTGGACTTCAGAAAGGACTTTTAGTGTTTGTTTGATACCATGTGGAGTGGGTCAAATTTCGGACTCGGTCCAAAACCGAGTGTTTGTTTTGCATGTTGTCATTGGACTTCACAAATGCTTCAGATCCAATCCGCCTGGAAAAAGGGTAGTATTCGGTCCTTAGAACTTTGTGTCCATTTTGCCGTGTCAGAAGAACAATACAATGCAGCTTCTCTCTCCGTTTCTTCCTAATTGATGTTTATTTCGTTCTCATTGTCTTCTTCCTTAGGTATGTTCCTTTGTCCTACTTCCTTTTTTCTTCAACTATTGTTGTGTACATGTTCTCAAAATTCATCTAATCTATTGTAAAACTCGAAATTCATTGTTGTGTAAAACTCGAATCTTGTTGTGATGAAATCAACCTTTGAAGTTGTATGTATGTTTATGAAATCAAACCTTCTATGTATGTTAATAAAATAAAATATTGCTTCAACAAGTTGATTGCTTTTATCATTCTTATTTGTATGAAATCAGCTCTTATATGTGATGTGTATGAAATCAGTCCTCATGTGTGATGTTATGTCTGATGTGTGTATGTTTATGAAATCAGCCACTTATGTTGTGTACGTGTGTTGTGAATTTTATGTTTAGACGTTGCAAAAAAGAGTGGTAGAGCTAGTTGGTCTTCGGATGTTTTGAACAAATATTTTCTTGAATCATGTACACATGAACTAGCAACTAACGGTCAGGATGGAATGTAGTTGCTAAAAATTTGAAAAACGAACATGACTTTCTAGTTGAAAAAAAAAACAAATAAAATATCGTTATTACTACTTGAAAAACAAATATGCAGTTTTGTTGGAGTTCAAAAACAAAACTGAGAATCTTTATAATTCTAAAACAAACACGTTTCATATGACAGGGGAAAAATGGCAAACGGAGGCGAAGATATTCTTTTATTTTAAAACACATGATTATTTTGTTTTAAAAGATAGATAATATTAATAATTTTTTCAAACAGTTGAACAAAATGGTTGACACATTAAAAAGTGTGCCCCTCCCTTTCGTAAATATATGCACCTAATTATTTGACGAGGCGACCTCGGTAGGTTGCGATAGTTGGGGACCATCTCCAACACTCTCTCATCCCACCGAAGTGTTTACTACACATGATTTTGAGAATGAAGACCCAACACCTTAGATGGATATCTCAGCCTCAACAGTATCCCCACCTACAAGTGTCCAAGTGAAGAATCCTCTGATCGGTCAAAAAACAAAGGAGGAAATGAAATGCACCCAAGGACACTAGATGAGGACTTAAGAGAGGAAGAAGACAAGGGAGGAAAAGAAATAAGAGCAAGGGAACATACCTGAGGAAGAAGACAACGATTAGGAAGAAACGACAAAAAGAGTTGTGTTGTTCTTCTTGTGTTTCTTCTAATAGGGCAAAATAGACACAATTTTGAGGACCGAATCCTACCCGTTTTCCGGTCAGACCGGACCTGAAGCATTTGTGAGGAACGAGTCCCAATTTTAGACCGAGTCCAATGACAGCATGCAAAACAAACACTCGGTTTCGTTTCAAACCGAGTCCAAAATTGGACTTAGTCGACATGGTATCAAACAGGCTCTAACTTAGTCAACAACTATCAAACGATCCCTTACTTTGTTTTATAATGCAGGCTTCTAGCATCTCTTTAACCAACTTTTATATCTCATCCTTTTTGGAATGGTGGATATCTATATGGTCGAATGTTAATTGGTTCTACACCTTTCATGAGACACCCAAGTCAAAGTCAACAAGAAGGTTAGAGATAGGGGTAGGTTTTCCAACGACGCAAAGGAAAGAAAGTACATGGGTTGTTTGGTTAATTTTTAATAGTTAAAGGGAAAGTAATATCATTACCTTATTTAATTATTATTACCATATCTTAAGTGGTTGCTAAATGCACGATAACTTGCTAGTTCAAGTCTAGATAAGAAAAAATAAGGGGAGGGTTTATTAGAAGGGCATCTAGAAATTATACACCTTTTTTGAGTTAGAGGAATACAATGTGTCTCGATTCTCGAAAGTCAGGAACCCTATCCCATGTTTTGTTTTCTTTTGATTTCAATAAGAAGTTCCAATTTGGTTCATATCATAATCCCTCTGGGTTCTTGAAAATTCCTTCAAATATCATTAGTATTTCATAAATGTCCTTTGCATAAGTAGGTAAGTTAATGGGTCTTCGTCTCTTCTAAGCAACCTAATTCGATTACACCTTGTTTTTCTTTTTTTATCGTCTTGATATAGCTTTGAGAGCCTCAGAGACATTTCCTTGCCATTTGTGATTTGACTTGTTCCCCTTGTCATTCGAACTTCATTGTTTGAGTTTGCAAATTCACCTCCATTAGACCTAATTAGGTCAGCCATTGTATATCAAGGATTATAATAGAATTTGTTAAGGGTAAGGTAGAAAATCCATTGCTATTTTAATCCATTGCATCCATAGTTTGACTTTTTACAAATTCCTCAAGCTCCTACTTCTTCGCCTACTCCCATAGACACACTACACATATCGTTTGGATCAAATTAGCTTTACAAACAAATGTATTCGAGATAAAATTGTGAGATGCCCCACAATCTATCAATAATACTACTACCTTTTATGATCCCATTAAGCCCTTTAACTTCATTATTCTAGGTGTAATAAAACCAATTACCGAAGTAACCTCAATTTTGTCTTTCTTGATTACATTGAACAATTCCGCTTCATCTTTCTCTTTTTCTACACCTTCATAATGTTGGTTATTTGAGTGTTGTCAGGATTCTATTTGAGACAAGTCAAGTACCTTTTAGTTATATTTCGAAACTGGAGGTGCGGAGTGCACACTCAAATCACTTAAATGGACTTGGGAACACAGTGGTCCGGCGGCAGCGCACGTGGTAGGGTTCAAAGTGGTAGAGCCCCTAGCGGTCCAAGGGTTAGGCCGAATATTTCCTGCCAAATGACCCAAACTTTGCGTTCATTAAGTGGGAGCAATTTTCACCCTTAAAACCGTCATCTTCTATGTATATAGTTAGAACATCACAAAGACTGTTTTCTTCTCTCTGGAAAAGACATCGATTGCAAGGTATTTTTCTATGTTCAGAATTGGAATAGGCATGTATTCCAATTCGATTTGATCTTGGATTATCCCAAATCGGATTTCATGATACCCCAGGCAATTGGGTCGAAATCATAAATTTTGGAAAGTGTTTCTCATACACGATCCTTGATTCATCCAAGCGATTTCATTGATACTCGAAACCCAAAATCTAACACATAACCTTGTGTTTTCTAAACTTTCTTGGACAATTATGACATTAAGCTCTTTTTTCTTGCAACAATGTCCTGGACATACTTTTCTATCACATTTGTTATTTGTAACAGTCTGACAGTCTCATTTGCTTTTTGCTACAATTCTTTGTTGGAAAGTCTTTTGAATTCTCCTTTGAACTTGTTTTCTAAATTTGTTTTTCCCGCATTCCCTATCACTAGAATTTTCCTACTCTCTTTTAGAATTGTAGAACTAGAAGAGTTTTATATTTGTACCTTTTTGAATTACTTTGTTCTTTTTGTCTACTCTTTCTACTATTTCCATTGCTTTCTGTAATCCATTAGAAGCTAATAAACGAACCTCTACCCTAATTACTTTTGGTTCTAACAATCTCACTCAAAGGTGTTGCTAACAATACAAATTTGCGTTTGTATTCCATTACCAAAGAATCTTGTTTAACTACTAAACTGATTGAGAATTAATTTCTTCAAATCTTCCCGGATTAAATTACAGAAAGATTGAATGCCTTTATGACATCAGACTCTCTTATTTATATCCATTCCTTGGCTTCAAAAATCTAACTACTTATGTAACCGACTAATACAAACTCCAGAGAAAAAAGTAAACAACACATTTCAGCTTTGACTAATTGACTATTGCTTTGACCTTTTTGAGTAAGTATACCTCAAATGTGATCCAACACTCCAACACTATGTTTATGTCACCCAAACACACACATGTTGAGTAAATTCTTTACAATGTTGTTTATGTTCACTTCACAATTAGCAGTTTTAGTCACATAGTTGACCAATCACTCGGTTTCTTTTCACAATCAAACATGAAATTTGTATTCAACCCTAATAAAATATATATGATACTGTCGAGCAAAAAATAAAAATTGTAATTCTGGAATTAAATTGCAAATAGAAGGTATAACATTGAAGCATATAGCTAGAATAAACTTTGCCAAATATAAAATATGGATTAAATTTCATTGTTGAACAGAAACATGATAAAAGACACCTAAACTAGTAGAGATTTAAAATCACAACTTTATGGCAACAAATTGTATTTAGGAAAAAGTAACCATTAGATCATAAACTCATAGGCACTCTCCTAGACTGAAAAATGGATTAACTTTTCTTAATGAAACCTAAAAGTATGAGAGAACAACCCTAAACCAGAAGTTAGCACATGTTTCAAGTAATCAAGTGATCAAAGATCATGTTTTTGGCAAAAGGTCGAAATAAAAAGAGTGAATAGTGTAGCATATATTATAGAAAAAAGTGTAGTTGGGAATTTAACCCTTAAACATGTTAAGATAAACCCTAAACCAGATGCCGATACGCGATCAACGAAGTAAAAACTGGTTAAAGATCAGATTCACCAGTTATGCAATTAGAGTTCTTTAGTAAAAGATGTATATTTAATCATCCCCAATTTGGGAAATTGAGTGTAAACATGAAACGGAGCTTAGATTATAAGTTGCAAACAAACAGATGAGCGACATTGGAGGATTAAACCCAAGACACGGCAAAATAACCTAACCCAGAAGCAAATACATGATTATCAAGTAAGCATTGACCAAGAATCACACTTTTGATAAGAAATTGCAAGCAAAACGATGTTTTTGTGTGATTTGGAGGAATTGAACCTGAAAAACCACGCGAGCAGATCCGAGTAGCGAGTCTTCAGCGGAATCGGCGAACATGGTGGAGGAAAAACAGACAATAGAGATGGTAAAACTAAACAATATCCGATTGAGGAACAATTTCTTCATATCTTTTGACTTGTGGATATTGCCCGTTTTTACGATTTCTTGGAAACGAGTATTGAGACGCAGATAGATTAGTCAACTCCACCTCATATTGCTACTGTGCTATGTGCCTATATGGTTTCTTCTAGATCATCTTGAGTGAGTCGACTCGGATGCATTGTTGATTACTTGATATGGTTTAGCGACTCGGATGTAGCTAAAAAGTAAAAACTAAGTGTACGATTAAATTTGGTTAATACTTTTTGGTGTAGGTCGTAAAGACTAATTAATAAATAACATGTTAAATGTTAAAAATGATAGAGTGTTTTATTTTAGGGAGTTTTTTAAATATTAAAATATTATATTTACTCAATTTAATTTCTAAATATCATATTTACTCTTCATAAAAATTTTAAATATCATATTTACTCTTCATAAAATTTCAAAATATGTCCTTTTTAAACATCAAAATATCATATATGTCGTTCTTAAATATCAAAATACCGTATATGCACTTTTTAAATATCAAAATATCAATGGTAATATCTAAAATATCTTCCATCTACAATATGATAATAATCAACAACAACAAAAACTAAACAATCAAAATATATATTCCATAGAAAGTGTTGAAGATGAATCTTTTTGTCTGTCAAGAGGTCGACATTCCAACAATTTAGAAGTTCACATTCCATTATTATAGACGTAAGAATAATATGGTTAAATTTCTTAATTATTATAATAATTCTAAAGTATAAAAATGATTATAAAATATTAAAAAAATTATAAAAAAGTATTTTGACAAATATGATATTTTGAAGGTTTATGAAAGGTAAATATGATATTGAAAAATTAAATTGAGCAAATATGATATTTTGAAGTTTAAGAGGGGCATATATGAAATTCTCCCTTTATTTTACAGTTTCAATGGTAATGGTGAAGTGAGTCGAGCGACTATATCATATGGAATGATGTTGGAGTGAGTCAACGTCTAAATGGAGTCCATATAAATATATTAGTTATTTTAATTCAATTTTTGACATTTTAAAAACTGATAAAAATAAATAAAAAAAAATACTCTGGATCGGTCAACATATTCTTCTTCACGCATTCTCCTCCTCTTCATCCCTCTTTCCCTACATTACATCGCCTTTCCCTTTCATTTCCCCATCGTAGGGTTTATGATCGCATCCGAAGTAACCACTTGGGTTGTAGCATGTGGTAACTTAGTAAGACGTGTAGAAGATATGATAACATGATGACTCGTACTTAAATCCTGACACTCAGCACATGTGCCCATGAAGGTTTGCCTATATTGGTTCTAGGGCATGAGACATAGCCTCATGTTCAAATTAGTTGGTGTGTGAACTTTTTCCTGGAAACCCTCGTTAGGGATGTTTCTTTTCCAAAAATAGAACACTCGAAGCACACTAATCATGAGCGACTAATGAAGATAGGAAATTAGTATGTCAATGAATTCGTCAATGAGCTCAAGTCGACATTAGAGATCATGTGATAATGATGGAGAGGGGGAAATGTAACAAAGGTATGATGAAGAAACACAAAAAATAAGACTTTTTGACTTTAGATGTTGAGAGTATTTACCCAATAAACAATGGTGGCCGGGGGCGGAACTACTATATAGCACAGGGTAGCACGGGTTACCCCTAAAATTTTCTAATGAAACATAAAATTAGTGAAAAAAATTCGAAAATTGTAACACCCGTTTCATGTACAAATTTAATTTTCAAATGACAATATTGTTTTGGGTGGCCACAGCGTGATGGAGCCTCACCACGGCGTGGCATTATCTTTTAGGTCGTGGGTTTTAAAAAACTACCACAACGTAGCAGCTAGTTTTGGTGAAACCCTAATCCGTTGGGATTTAAGCCCTATTTAAAGGACATTATGGCTAGGGTTTCAAGGTCATTCAGCCTCCACCACCCTCTCAAGCACTAAAACCCTAACCCTAGCCTCCATCACTCTTGAAAGTTCATTCTTCATACTTTGTTGGCATTTTTTAAGGACAATGAAGCCTTTGGTGAGGACTATCATCTTACAAGCAGTATATTCATCTTCTGGCTTCTCTTTTGGGATTGGGTGAGTATTCAAGACTCAATCTTTTCTTTTCTATATTGTTAGATCTTGGATTTCAACCATTTTCTTCATGTTTGGTGGCTTTTGGAATGTGAGATCTCATAGAGTTTGCAACTTTATGAATCTCCAGGCCATTTGGAGCATTTAACTCTTTGGATCTAAAGTAGACTTGAGTTTTGAGACTGTACACGGAATCTTGGCCCTTTTTGCCCTTGTCTTGCCCTAAAACTGGAAAGGACATGCATTTCGCTAAAGCTATGATTTTTATGGTCCAGAAGGTGTTGGAAACCCTTCTAGAACTTTGGAGAAGTAACTTTAAGGATTAAGTGTTTAATGAGTGGTATGTGCTTTATGCTTCCATTAAGAACTTAAGGCTTTGGATCTTAACTTATTGGTAAGGTTTAAAGGATAAAGTTGGAAACTTTATCCATCTAGGTTATGGTATGGACCTAGTTTGATCTTGGTAACTCTTAGAATGGGCTAGAAATCAACTTAAGGGATTAAGTCATTCTGGTTGATCCCTACAGCATGGTGAAGCCTCACCACAACGTGATTGTTGGGCTGAGCACGCCTGTTTTGTCATATTGTAACCATAGTGTGGCCATGGATAGCCACGACGTTGTGGTAAGTTGTAGGTTGACTTCGACCCAAGTTTGACTTAGGGGCGTTTTGGGTATTTTGATTAGTAGTTGAGCTTAAATGATTGTTTTTGTGTAAATGGTTGGTAGAGTCAGCATTTGAAGCAGTAATCTGCATAGCTATTTCTTCAGATTGTGAGGTGAGTTTTCCTCACTGTACTTGTAGGTCGAAGGAACCAATGTCGACCCACTAGATTATGTATCCTGGTATCTACGATGAGGTTATGTTGGTTATATGATAGATTGATAGATCTAAAGGATTACTTGTAACATACTGACTCTGATGTATAATATTTATATAAGCTTATTTATAAGTTGGTTGGGTGACTCGACGAGTTGGTGCCTCAACTCGTCGAGTAGAGATTGATTGACCACGTGGGTCTGAAAACCGACTCGACAAGTTAGAGAGCTGACTCGTCGAGTAGGCACTGCGAGATGAAACCTTAAATCCCCGGGTTTAGGGCCTATGTAAGGAAGCTTATGTCCTCATTTCCGCCTCACCAGCTGCCTAACTCCCCTGTGTGAAACCCTAATCGACCCTTGAGCTAAGAGAAAGTGTGTGAGCTAATATTGAGTGTTTTGGTGGATCTTTTGGAAGTAAAGGAGTGAGATACAAGCAATGAATGAGGAAAGGATGTGGGATCTAGCATTGTTTCACTTACAGCTTCTGTGGAAGGTAAAAATCTTACACCTTTCTCATCTTATTAGCTAGATCTCTTGAGTGTGGAAGTTAGGGCTTTCACCACCTTTTGTTGGGACAATGAGTGCATGGAGTCTATTAAGGGGTCTAGACTTTAGATCTGGACCTTGTAAGGTCCAGAGAGTCCAAAGGTTCCAGCTTTATTCAGCCACATAAGAGTTATTATGCTTAAACCCCTTTGTTAGAGTTAGATTGGCATGTTGGAGCAAGATGTGCCATGCATGAACGTAAAGATCGAAGCTTTACGTGACATTTGAGCCTTGGGAGCCTAGATCTAGAGTTTGGAGTGGTAGATCTGCCTTAAAACGTCTGAATGAGGAACTTACTGAAGGGACTCGCCGAGTCAATGAGCTGAATCGACGAGTCGGTTAGGATTTGTCCCGATGAGTCTGATTATGTGATAACTCAACAAGTTGATCAGGACTTTCATGAGACTTCTGAGGAAACAAGGGGACTCGACGAGTCACATAGATGCACTCGGTGAGTCAGGTCAACATGAATTGTTGACTTCTATTGACTTTCAGGGTTTTAACCAAATGTGAGCAATGGAGACCATGGAGGGTTAGAATGGAGGGTTAGAATGGTCTTTTACCCTTCCCAAGAGTTAGAGAGGGGCTAGTATGGGTTTATTTATAGCTGTGATTTTAATTAGAGATAATTATCACATGTGTTAGGCGGAGGCTAGATCGGTGATTCGTGTACGAGGTGTATTTGCTTGCTTGCTTTGAGGTGAGTCTTCTCATTATACTTTACCTATAGTGGAAGTCTTTGTGTGACCGGAGGTCTTATGTGTTATATTGATTATTGAGATATCATGCTTTATGTCTTTGTGATTTATGTTGAGTATTATTCTGAGCTTACTGATTTAGGACCGGAGGGTCCACCCAAGTTGTGGGATTGGAGGGTCCCACTGAGACACATTGACCAGAGGGTCTTATTTGAGAATAGCCATAAGAGGCTAATGAAATATGTGTGGTATTTTAGGGAACTCACTAAGCTTCATGCTTACCGTGTTATGTGTTATATGTTTTAGGTACTTCTTAGGATCATGGGAAGGCGCCGGCTTGATTGTACACACAAGACTATGCTATATTTGAGGATCCTGGATTTTTGTTGTCATGGACATGTGTTTTGATAAAAATGAGGTTTTGGAGCTTTTTTTATTTATGTAATGAGATTAATGTGATTTTTAAATGAAAATTTTGTTTGAAAATTTACGGTGTAACATTACTTGTATTCGTTGGATATGTGTTTATGTTTATCTATTGTATATGTCGACATATTATGGCCGGGTTGAGGTGGTCTTGCTTTGTGCTGAAGGCCAAGATACCCGGGGTGGTCCGAATAGGCTATAGTCCCTATGAGGCGGTCCAGTCAGACCGAAGGCTTGGAGAGTGGTCCAGATAGGCTATAGGCCCTATGAGGCAGTTCAGTCATGTTGAAGGCTCATATTTACATGCTATTATTTGTTATGTTGTGTGATGGTACTTTGGGGAAACTCACTAATCTTTGTCTTATGATTTTAGTTATTGTTTCAGGTACTTCAGAGGGTCATAGGAAAGCGAAGGTGTGATCATGCACATCTTCCTGTTTTTATGATTATTAGATCTTGGGATACTCTGATTATGAATACACTTTTGAAACAATGGTTTTGTAAACTCTTTATGGTTAATGTTTAATGGGCTATTTTTGAAAAATTTAAATTTCTATTATTTTTGGGATATAACAAGTTGGTATCAGAGCCTTGATTTGAGGGAATTGGATGAACATTTGTGTGAATCCAAACTCAAACCAAGGAACT